TGTTGTAGAGCCGCGTGTAGCCGGCCCCGCAGTGGGCGCAGAAGAAGCGCTTCTCGCCGACTCCGTCGGGTTTCGGGGCGGAACCGCCCGCGGACCGGCCTCCGGTCCCCCCCTCCCCCGACCCTCTCTGGACCTCCTCCTCCTCCTCCTTCTTCACCGCCCCGGCCAGCGGGCAGCGGAGCTGGTGCACCTGCAGGTTGTAGCGCCGGGTGTAGCTGTTGCCGCAGAGGCCGCAGGCGAACCTCTTCTGCGCGGACTGGCCCGGCGCCGGCGCCGCCTGCTGCTCCCCCTCGCGCCGGCGGCACTTCCTGCGGTGCACGAGCAGCGAGGAGCGCCGCGTGTAGCGGTTTCCACAGCAGGCGCACGCGTACCGCTTCCTGGCGTGAGGCTTCGGCCTCGGGGGCGGGCCGACGCCGTTCTCCTCGGGCTCCGGTTTCCCCGGACGCTTGCCCCCTTCCTCCTCCTCCTCCTCCTCCTCCTCCTCCAGCTTGACCTTCACCTGCTCCACCTGCGCCGTCGGCGGCCCGTCTGTCGGAGGGCCCGGCCCAGTCCCGGCTGACCGGCCGGCCGCCTTGTCCATGAGGCGCCGCGCGGCCGGGAAGTGGCAGAGAGAATCCCAGCAGCCCGCCGCCGGGATCTGGGACCACCCCGGAGCCCCGGACTCGGGCGCGAGATCGCTGGCCGACTCGGGCGAAAAGGGCTTGAGGCTGCCGGGCGTCTCGCGGTCCGCCCAGAAGACCGGCTCCAGGAGGGGGTTCCTGGGAGCGGCGACGCTGGAATCCCTTCGGCCCCCCCCGGGCTCGGGGGGCAGGGGGGCGAGGGCAGCCTGGAACAGGGGGCGCCCCTGGGGAGACTGGGGGAGCAGCAGGAACGAGGGAGCCGGAGCGCTGCTCCGACACGGAGGGGTGAGGTGGAAAGGCCGCAGCTCGGACCGCGGGGGCGGATCGCGGGCGCTGGCCACCGGCCCGGCCGGCTCCGGCTCCGGCTCCGTTTTGATCCAGAGGGGCTCGGTGGCCGTGCCGACGCTGCAGGAGCCCGAGCTCTGGGGGTGGATGAAGGTCGCGGGGCGGATCCAGTCCTGGTCCGGGCTCGGCTTCCCCGGCGAGGGGGCGCCCGGGCACCGGTGGGTCTTGAGGCCGAGCCGGCGGGCGTAGCTGCGGCGGCACACCGGGCACCTATGCTGCTTCCCCGGCG